GCTCTGGTGGTGTACTGGTTAAGGCATTGGGCTGCTAACCAAAAGGTCAGTGGTTTGAATCCACCAGCTGCTCTGTGGAAGAAAGATGAGGCAGTCTGTTTCCATAAAGATTTACAGCCTTGGAAACCCAATGGGGGTTGCTGTGAGTCAAGATCAACTCAATGGCAGTGAGTTTGGTTTTTGATATGAAACACTTCAAAACCAGAGATTTGCAGTGCTAATACCAGAAGAATAGTTAACCAAACTAACTACAAGTCAGAAATAAAAAAGGGCATCATGACTTTAGCACGTGAGAGAAGCAGTGTGAAAAACAAAGAGTCCGTGAAAAGCCCAACATTAGTTATGAAAGGAACTGACATTTTATGGGTGTCTATTGCTGGGCAGTGTTCACCCAATGAGGCGAAAGGGAAGAATTCTTAAAATGATGATCTTAGAAAGTGCACATTGATCAGTCATCTCCAGCCATCAGAGTAAAGGCTGTGAACACACCTGGTAGGAACATCACACTTGTAGTTCGCTCTGATGCACATGAGATAGCTGGTTAAGTTTTGCCCAGACACACCTGCCTGGAACTATATACCTTTGGAGGTCGGGAATGGGGTTCAAGCACCTGAGTGTTCGGAAAGGTGCACAGGTGTTCATGTGCTCTACACCTCTCTAAACAAAGCCTTGTTGTGGATTATGGGCTGAGTTGGCCATCCACAATCCACTCCAGATGAAGGGTTTATAATTCTGCAGGGGGAAAAAAAACATAATTATGCAATGGTATAGTGAGACAATGAATAAAAATTCAAAGAAGAGTTGATGCTTTTGAGTTGTGGTGTTGGTAAAGAATACTGAAAGTACCATGGACTGCCAGAAGAACTAACACATCTGTCCTGGAGGAGGTGCAGCCAGAATGCTCCTTGGAAGCGAGAACGGCCAAACTTTGTCTCACCTACTTTGATCACATTGTCAGAAGGGACCATTCCCTGGAGGATATCTACAAATAGGACGTGCCGTGGTAAAGTGGTAAAGTGGAGGGTCAGCGAAAAAGGGGAAGCCCTCAACGAGACAGACTGACACAGTGGCTGCAATGATGGGTTCAGGCATGACAAGGACTGTGAGGTTGGTGCAAGACGGGGCAGTGTTTCGTTCCGTGGCACATAGGGTCACTGAGTTGGAGCCGACTCAACAGCACCTAACAACAAGAAGAACATAATCAGATGGGCATCCCTAGTTCTAAAAAGGAAAATGTTAAATAAAGCTGGCATATATTGTTGGGTGCTGTTGAGTTGATGCCAACTCATAGTGACCCCATGTGACAAAGCAGAACCATCCCATTGGGTTTTCTTGGCTGT